AGTATAATGAAAATGTTTCCCTCGGGGGCAAAGGCAGACATGCTTAGAAAAGTCAGGATCCCTGAGCTCCAGGTTCCTCTGTTGTCACACAGCCCCTTGTTGTACAGGCAGTGATGTGGCCCTTTCTGTGTCTCCCTGTGGGAGTTAGGACTCAAAAAACCACCATAAATGCTTAGAGTCTGGCCACTGCTATTCTGTGAGTAATTAACCGGTTTTGTCTCTGACTTAGAAGTCTCAAGTCTTCTTCCAGGATCCATGAAACTGTGGCAGGCTAACTCACAGGTAGAGTAAAATCTCGGACCCTTCACAGTTCTCAACAAGTATTATAATGAATATACTGAGGCCCTAAAAGAGTGAACTATAAGATCAAGTCAAAGCATTCTCCCAGAATTCCACCCCCAAAATAAATGTGGGTTAAGTGGAGAAACATATAGGACGGTTCCACAGACTCCAATAAGAAATAGGAATTCTGAAAGAAAGAGAAGTAGATAATCAAGAAAAATAGGAAAAACTTCTCCCAAACCTAAAAGAAAGAAATACTTAAATTGAAAATGCCATAACATCTCAGTGAATCACTCCACAGAGTACTTAGTGATTATGAAAGGAGAAGCGTACCTCTGTAATGGCACATCCCTTTCTCCCATTGGAATGAAAGCTTTGGGCAGAAAGCAAGCAATCAGTAATACTAAACTAACAATAATGGGACAAAGTGACTCATGTGCTTTCTTATGCCCTATGCTAAGAAGGAACCAATATCCCTTCTAGAATATGCTTGCCAAAAAAGGTTTACTCTGAACCTAGACGTGCGGATGCAAGAAGACAAATCCAAACTGAAAGACTATAAAACTACTAGCCTGAACTCTTCATTCAGAAATATTAATGACATAAAAGACAAAAAGGCAAGGGTGCTGTTCTAGATAAAAGGAGAATAAAGAAAAAGGATGACCAAATGCAGTGCACAATCTTTAACTGGAGCCTTTGATTTAAGAAAAAGCTAGAAAAAAAAAAAAAAAGAAAAAGCTAGAAAAAAAAAACATGGTTGGAACAAGTAGGGAAATGTGAATATAGACTATATATTCAATAATAGTATTGTATCAAATAAATGATGGTATTATATCAAGTTGACTCATACTTAATCCAAGTTAAATATTTTTTTGGTGTGATTATTGTTCTGAGGTTATGTAGGAAAACATACTTGTTCTTTAGGAGATATATGCTGAAGTATTTAGAATAAAGTGCCATTAATGTCTGCAACTTACTCTTAAATGGGTCATAAAAATTATATTTTTATATATATAGTTTTATATAAAAATTATATATAATCCGTATAATCTCTATATATGAAATTTATATACATACACATACATATAGAGAGCTACAGAGAGAGAAAGAAAAGAAAATATAGCTAAATGTTAACAGTTGGTAAAACCCAAATATCTGGGTATCCATTGTATTATGGCAGGTTTGCAAAAGGTTCGCAAACTCTCAAAATAATAAAGGGGAAATAATAGATTGTAGATGCCAGTCAAATGCCAGAAAAGATTAACACAAAGGGAAGCTATATCTACACATACTTAGGAGGCATCTCATAAATCAAAAATTTAAAGATAATACCATACATTTTTTTCACAGAGCCATAAACAGTCTACATGCAAATCACTCTGGATATGGGTACTAAGATAAGGACATAGTATCTCCCAAGTTCTGAGAGAAATTTACTTTGAAGATAGAGTTCTATATCCAGCCAATTAAAATTTAAGTATGAGCACAGAGAGAGAAAGAGAGAAGAAGAAGAAAAAGTATTTTCAGTTACATAAAGAGTAAGAAATTCTACATTCCACAGATATTCCTGAAATAATTAGTTGCAGATATGCCGCAACACAATGAAAACTGAATCCAGAAAAGCTGAAGATGTGGAACCCAAGAGATGGCATGCAAAGAAATCGGGAGCCATGAGCACATAGCATTAGAGATATGAAAGAGTTACAAGGAAAAAAAGACTCAAATTTATATATTATTTAAAATGTATTTAGGTGACAAATGCATAAGCAAGATAATTTCTTCAAGAGATAAGTAAGTCCCATGACGGCAATAATCAGACACTGTCCTGGGAAGGGATGCCCTGCATAAAATCACTGCTCTCCGTACATGAAAGCAATTACCTACATGCAGGGTGAACTCGACCCTGCAAATACTCTGGAACTGAAAAGCCTTTAAATTCATATTGATCCCTTCTGTCTTTTAAGATGTTTCAGCCAGAGAAGATACAATATGACCAAGATTCTGCGGAGATTTTGTGAACTGATAGACAACACCAAACTGCAAGCCCAACATCCAAGACTTTTATTTTTGTTGTTGTTGTTCATGTACATGAGCCAAGTTAGAACTAGCCACTGAAAAATAAGGAAAAGGAGGCTATGCCTTGGCATTACAAGGTCACAGGTGTGTTTCAGGAATATAGGAACAGTGATTTTACCTAGAAAAAGTTATAGAATGATATTATAATATTTGTCTTATTAAGGAGAATTATTGCAGGGAGCAAGTTTAAACAAACTAATTGTGGATTGGATTCTATTTCTGTCTTTTCGTGTAAAAAGTATGTGTGTGTGTGTGTGTGTATGTGTGTAACATATGAGGGAGGTAGAGAGAGGACTCCAAGAAAGAGTATCACGCTCCCTTGTGTCCTCCCCTGTTCTCATTTGAATGACAGCTCTGACCGCAGGACAGGGGCTACGGTGCCTCCAAGCCAAGCAAAGCCCAAAGGCAGAGGATGGAGTCTGTTTCTGTATCTTCTTTCTCCCCCCTTTGCTGCCCAGAGCATACTGTGCTCCCGAATGTACTTCAACTCCCCAGGAGTACTGCGGGAGCATGTGTGCTTTCAGATGGCCCAATCCTTCAGAGTTTTGAGGAGCAGAGGGCTGTCTGGGGATCCCCCCTTCTGCTTCTCTCGCAGACCTTGGCCCCCCTGCAGAACTGTATCCTAAGGCTGACCCGGCTCAGCGGGGGTGGGGGGTGGGGGGTGGTGGCAGATGGACTGTATTTGGTACACTCCCAGGAAGCCAGTGCAAATGCTTTTAGGAGGTCAGTGCCCTCCGACTGCGAAATGATAATATGCTAAATTACGTGCGTAATTAAATTTCACCCCAACAGCATACCATAAAATTGGAAAAGCAATTCCATCACCCAGGATCAATGTGCATAAAGTACACACAAAAGGACCAAAAGTTCTCATGAGTAAACTTGTGTTTGTGCTTTGGCTGAATAGTCAGAGGTCCATTTCTACTATAGGTTGATGAATGGTGCACAGTTAATTACCACTTAATTATTTGTCTCTTTTTCCTTGTGTTGCTGCCATATAGGTTAGAAGTGACAGGGATGAGATTTTATTTTTTTTTTATTTTTTTAGGGATGAGATTTTTGTTAATCTCCCCCAGTCAAGCATCCAAGGGATATTCTTCCTATTAGATTTTACCATCCTATTCACAAGTGTTTTTATTTTTTGTTTATATATTTTTTATTTTTTTAAAAGATTTTATTTATTTACTTGAGAGCAGAGAGAGGGAAAACACGAGTAGGGGGGAGGAGGAGAGGGATAGGGAGAACCAAACTTCTTGCTATTGTGGGGCTCGATCCTAGACCTTGAGATCATGACCTGAGCCAAAGGCAGATGCTTAATCGACTGAGCTACCCAGGTGCCCCTATGTTGTTTTTTTTAACCGTGCAAAAAAACACATCAGGTTTAGAGAAACTGAGCTAAGAGGTAATCTGGTATAGCTGCTATCTCATGAATATTCAATGATATTGTGCTATAACAAATTCTTAACAACTAGTCTATAGGTACATCAACGTACTACAAATAACACTGGGTAAAAAAGTAAAAGAAACAATCTAGCACCAAGCCCAGGATCTGATACTTAGCTGACAGTTGAGAAATATTTGTAAGTGAATAAATGAATGAGTCCGTGAATAAACAACTGATAAAACTCAGTTCTCCAGCTTCACAGGCCATTCCCATGAATATGAGGACACACCATTGCAGATGACAAATGGTCAGGGCAGAATGACAGATGTTTTAACAGTGGGTATCTGGGCCATAGACTACTCTCCCATTTAATTTTTTGTGAGTTCATTGCTGAACCAATTTGAAGCTTTGTTTCTAGGAAGTGTTGATCTATTCCCTTGAGATTAGTAATGGTAAATACAAGTCTTAGTGGACTGGCAGTGCATTGCTGTGGATGGCTACCTAGTAAGCACATGGCACTTTAGGTGATAGCACTTTATGGTCTCAGCAGAGCAAGTCTGGACCTTGAGGCTGAACTATTTCCTCATAAAAGCATAAACTGAAGGAGGTTGGAAAGCCAAGGAAATGGAAGGCAAGTCCACAATCTCTCCTGTTTGCTATATACCAAGATACTACTACTATCCACATACACGGTCCCAAAATTTGTATTTGTTTAAGGGATATGAATCTAAGATAGCCAGTGTCAGAGTCAGAGAGAAGGGCAGGAGCACCCATTCTTCCTGCTGGTCGTCACTTGCTCCTGGTCCTCTTAGTTGCCTCTGAATCAAAGAACCAAAAAGCAGCCCTATTTTACAAGCTGAACCACCCCCCCCCCAAGCTAACCTGATCTACCTCACTAGGAATGGATAACAGAGCACCAAGTACTCCATCAAAGACTAAGCCCTTACTTTTAGCTTGATCTTAAGGTTCCATTGACCTCCAACTATCTTTCCCAGAATGTTGTGAAACATGCTACACACACACACACACACACACACATATATTTGTATAGCTAGAGATAGAGATATCTATATTCATGTTAGTCAGAAACAACTGAATTAATATTGTATCTAATAGTCAGAAATTTATTAGGGTTAATGGAGCCTATAACTCAAAGCACGGACAATCCTTGCAATGATATCTTGGCTATAGAACTTGAATTTACGATTTCTTGTCCTTTTCTCTTTACCAACACCCCCTCTCACCGCCCCCAACTCAGGAAAGGAGACTGGCGGGGGAACCAAGAGTTTGGATTGCAAAATTGAGGAGAGTACCGAAACACCTGCTCTAGAGGACTCCTCATCATCCCCTGTAGATATTCAGCAACATTCCTGGCAGGTTTCCACAGACATTGAGAACACTGAAAGGTAAGTGGGAAGTTACCCTAAATAGGCTGCCAGTATTCCTCCAGTTAATACTCTTAGGGGCTGTGAAAGATGAGATTTTTCTCTTTCAGATTCAGCTTTTGTCTTCAAGATTCAGATTTCAGAAATCTCAGAAAACTGAGGTAACAGAAGGTAGAGAGTCCGAATCCTACAGTAGAATGATAGCAGAATTTCCCGCAGTCACAGGCTCCCAGGCCTCTTTTTATCCTATACTACCACACTGTGTCTCCATGGAAATGAAAACAGTGTGCTTCCTTGGGAGGGAAGACCGTTGAATCTAGATACCATCACAGCTCACTCCCTGGGCCGGGTACCAAAATTTCCATTTATCTAAAGAAGAAGAATCCACGATCATGCAAAGACGCTGTAAGTAGATTCCTGGATTTCAGGTGTAGGGAATGGCCTGCTGAACTGCTAGTCAGGAGCTAAGCATTCTGTCCATTTGACAGACAGTTGTTCCTAGAGGCCCCTTCTCAAACTTTCCCAGAATGTAGCTGATGGCCGCTTAGTGGTCAAAGTGAGCTAATGCATTTGTCTTAACAAGCAGTAGAGGGAGTTTCCTTCTTAAGAAGAAAAGATTCTACAGTGATTTAATTTCATTTGGGGAAAGGAAGCAATAATAATATAATAGTAAGTGCCATGGCTCATCTAGATGCTAAAAATGCCATTCTGTGAGGCTGGAGGATGAGGCCCTTGTTTACTGGCCTCCACAGTGATATCATGTCCTTTGCTACTAATGTCCCCAGAGCTGACACAAAGCAGTTGAATGAATACTGGGCAATTCCACTGAGGGCTTTGTGTGGAGTTGAATCATTGACAAGATAATGAACATTTTATTTTTTTTTATTTTTAGAAATGTAACACACAATGGCATTTATAGCCATTGTGGTTCTACTTTCATATTGTAATATAATTCTAAAGCTAATTACTGAATTTCTGTGTTTATAGAAAATTGAACCATGTGGTAATTATGTGCTATTAATAAAACTTGGATTTTGTATAAGCTTGGAAATCTAACAATTCAAACAATAAAGCTGTTTGGCACGGTCTGATACAGCTATAGACAAATGGTGAGGGAATGATTTATCTTAATTTATGAAATAGAAAATGCTTTGCTCCATTCCCAGGAAGAAATATCTGCCACAGTGCCATGATCAGGGCATAATCCATCAGAAAAGACATTTTCCCTTACAGAAACCTTGCACAGCAGCTATCTAAGCCTTCTGAATTTATAAGAAAGCCAGCTATGGCTGGAAATAAAAATAAGAGAGAGTGCAGTTGGGTTCAAGATGGTGGCATAAAAAGATGTGAACTTACTCCGTCCTATGGATCCAACAAATACACAATTATAATTTCCTCTGAAAAAGACCAAAAAATTGGATGCATGGAGCCTCCACAACAAAGGACAAGAAATACAGCACTGAAATGGGTACAAGAGGCAAAGACACTGCCTTGCCAAAAAAGACTACACCATAAGTGCTGTGACCCATAATCAGGAGGGACCTCAAAAAGTATATAACTTTTCCTAAGAAGTGGGGGGGCCTGTGCTCCACATCAGGCTTCTAACCTTTAGTTAGACCCTGAATGAGAGATACAAGTGCCCTAAATGCCAGGCTTTAAAAGCCAATGAAGAGTACATCCAGGATAACTATAAAACTCAAGAGACTAGAGAACCCACTCTTATGGACTCATGCACAGATTCACTTGCCCTGGGACCCAGCACAAAAACACTAATTTGAAAAGTACCTAGATCATAAATGAAGGAAACCAATTTACTAATCTTAAAGCACCTGACAGAGAGACAGGAAAATGTTGGGACTTTATCCAGAGACAGAGACATTGGTGGCCACTATATATGTGACCTCTTCCTACCCTGCTAAGTTTAGTGTCAGTGGGCACCATTTTGGAACTATCTCTCTAACCTGTTAGAGCTGGCAGGCATGCCCAGGTGAAAATCCCACTCACCATCAGAGCAAAAGCACATGTCACAGCCAGGCCAAGGTCCAATCCCACCCACCCGCATACCACAGATATAACCCTGGTACAGCATATGGGTATGTGCAGCCCATCAGAGAATAATCCTTGAGCACCTAGTTCTGGTGATCAGAGGGGATTGCATATCTGGGCTCCACATGACCTCTCCTGCCCAAAGACATTCTTCAAGGCTGGAAGAGGTAGTTGATTTGACTATTACATACAAACAAACACAGAGAATAAGACCAAATGTTTCAACAAAACATTATGTTTCAAACAAACAAACAAACAATAATAACAACAACAACAAAAAGACAAAACAGCAGAAAAAAATATTGATGAAAAAGACATAAGCAGCCCACCTGATAAGGAGTTTAAAGTCATGGTCATAAAGATGCTCAGTGAACTCAGAAGAATGGATGAACGTGGAGATCCTCAACAAAGAGATAGAAAATATAAGAAAGTTCCATAGAGTAGTTACAGAGCTGAAGAATACCATAAAGGATCTAAAAAGTATAAAAGTATACTAAAGGGGTTCAAGAGCAGACTGGATAAAGCCAAAAATCTCATCAACAAGCTAGAAGAGAAAGCAACAGAAGTCATCTGGGCAGGAGAACAAAAAGTAAAAAGAATTGTAAAAAATGAAGATAATTCAAGGGACCTCTGAGATATCAAGTGGAATAATGTTTATATAATAGAGGCTCCAGAAAAAGAAGAGAGAAAAAAAAAAAGGCCAGAAAACTTATAGAAAGAAACCAGAAACTTGAAGAGATAATAGTTGAAAACTTTTCTAATCTGGGCAAGGAATCTAGATTTAAGAAATAGAGAGTCCTGAATAAAAAGAACTCAAAGAGATCCACAAGACATATTATAATTAAAATGGTAATTATAATTATAATTAAAATGGTAAATTATAATTAAAATGGTAAAAGTTAAAGATAAGAGAGAATCTTAAAAACAGCACAAGAAACCCCGTAAGTATGCCATCAGAGTTGTCAGCAGAAACCTTGCAAGCCAGGAGAGAGTAGCTGAAAGGAAAGTGCTGAAAGGAAAAAAACTCACCAAGAATTCTCAGCAAGTTGGGGCACCTGGGTGGCTCAGTCAGTTAAACCTTGGCCTTCGGCTCAGGTCATGACCCCAGCGTCCTGGGATCAAGCACCATATCGGGCTCCCTGCTCAGCCAGGAGCCTGCTTCTCCCTTTCCCTCTCCTGCTCCCTCTGCTTGTGGTCTCTGGGTCATTCTCTCTCTCTTTGTCAAATAAATAAATAAAGTCTTAAAAAAAAAAGAAACGAATTCTCAGCAAGTTATCAAAGTTATCATTCAAAGTTGAGGGAGAGGTCTCCTGAGTGGCTCAGTCTGTTGAGTGTCTGATGCTTGATCTCAGGTCAGGTGACCTTGGGGTCACAGGTTCAGACCTCACAGTGGGCTCTGTGCCCAGCATGGAGCCCACTTAAAAAAAAATTTGAAGGAGAGATTCAGAGTTTTCCAGACAAGCAAGGGGTACCTGGGTGGCTCAGCTGGTGAAGCATCTGCCTTCAGCTCAGGTCATGATCTCAGGGTCCTAGGATTGAGCCCCGAATTGGGCTCCCTGCTCGGTGGGGAGCCTGCTTCTCTTTCACCTTCTGCCTCTTCCCCTGCTCGTGCTTTCTCTCTCAAATAAGTAAATTAAATATTTTTAATAAAATAGTTTTTAAAAAAGAGTTTTCCAGATAAGCGAGAGCTATAAGGAGCTCATCACCACTAACCCAGAATCACAGTAAGTGTTAAAGGAACTTTTCTAAACTGAAAAGAAATAACACTAATTAATAACAAGGAAATATATACAAAATCCTACCAGAAAAGGTAAATATGTAGTGAAAGTAGTGAATCAGTCACTTTCTAAGCAACTATGAAGGTTAAAAGACAAAAATAGTACAGCTAACTGAAGCTACAAGACTTAAAGTGTACATTAAATTAAAAGCTGTAGCGGCAGCCCAGTGGCTCAGTGGTTTAGCACTGCTTTCAGCCCAGGGGCTGATCTTGGAGACTCGGGATCAAGTCCCAGGTCAGGCTCCCTGCATGGAGCCTGCTTCTCCCTCTGCCTGTCTCTGTCTCTGTCTCTGTGTCTGTCTCTCTCTCTCCTCTCTGTGTGTCTCATGAATAAATAAATAAAATCTTTAAAAATTAATTAATGAATCAAAAGATGTAAAATGGGATATCAAAAATATAAAATGGCAGGAGGTAGAAGAAATGTAAAGTTTTGGAATGTTGCTAGTAATTCAAAATAGGCCATTTTATACATAGGAACTTATTTGTGAACTTTATGGTAAGTCACAAAGCAAAAACTTACCATAAAAAACACAAAAGAAAATGAGAAAATTTAAACAAAACACTAAAGAGAGCCATGAAACCACAGGGTAAGAGAGAAAGAAGAAAGGAACAGACAGGAAGTACAAAACAAGCCAGAAAACAATTAACAAAATGGCAATAAGTACTTACCTATCAAAACCTACTTTAAATGTAAAGGAACAAAACTCTCCAATCAAAAGACATAGAGTGACTGAAGGGATAAATAAAAATAGGATCCATCTGCAGGCTACCAACAAGAGACTCACTTCAGGACACACAGAGACTGAAAGAGAAGGGAAGAAAGATATTTCATGCAAATGGAAATGAAAATAAATCTGCTGTAGGTATATCCATAGCAGACAAAATAGACTTTAAAGCAAAGACTGTGATAACGGGGGCGGGGGGGGCGCATCTGGCTGAGTCAGTCGGTAGAGCATGTGACTGTTGAACTTGGAGTCATGAATCCAAGTCAAGCCCCATGTTGGGGGTAGAGTCTATGTAAAACATAGACTGTGGTAATAGACAAAGAAGGGCATTACATAATGTAAAAGGGTTAATCCAACAAAAAGATATAACACTTTTAACTATATATATGCCCATCAAAGGAGCACCCAGATATATAAAACCAAGATTGACGAACCTAAAAGAAGAAACTGACAGCAGTGTACTGATGGTTAGAGGACTTTAACATCCCACTTACATCAACGAATAGATCATGCAAATCCAAAATTAATAAGGAAACATTGACCCTAAATGACACACTAGACCAGATGCACGTAATAAATATATACAGACACTCCATCCAAAAGTAACGGAATACATTCTTTTCGAGTGTACATGGAACACTCTCTAAGACAGATCACATGTTAGGCCACAAAACAAGTCTCAGTAAATTCAGGAAGATTGAAATCATATCAAGTATCTTTCCTTACTATCATAGTATGAAACTAGAAATCAGTTACAAAAAGAAAGATGGGAAAACCACAAAAAGATGTGTGTGTGTGAGTGCACGCACACCCTAATGGAATACTGCTCAGATGCGACTTGGAACAACATGGATGGATCATGAAAGTATTATGATAAGTGAAATAAGTGACACAGAGAAAGACAAATACCATGGGATCCCTCTCGTCTGTGGAATCTACAAAAACAAAGCAAGCAAAACAACTCACAGATACAAGAGAACAGATTAGCGGTTATAGAGGGGAAGGGTGGGGGATAGAGGGAGGCGAAATGGTTGGAAGGGGTCAATTGTAGGGTGTTGGAGCCTAACTGCACCTGCAGAAGTAATCACTTTGTAGTACGTACAGATGGCAATTTGTAATGTTGGACACCTGAAACTTCAATAATGTTCGATACCAATTTTACCTCAATTAAAAAAAGAAACGGGAGAGTATAACCCATAGTTTTGAAGTTCAGCCCTAAAGCCCAGATTCAGGTTCAAAGGAGGTGGGAATGGCTGAAATAAGTAGGCTCAGGAGCCCAGGTCTGGTAAGGCTGCTTCCTGAGTTCTCCCTCTCTGCCCTAAAACATCAGGGCGCCTAACACTGGGTGGGTCACCCAGGAGGGCTTCTTAAAAACATTGATTCCCGAGCCCCCATCCCCATAAACCAGCTGTATCAGGCTCTCAGGGGGCGGGGTCTTGGAACATGGTGATTCTCCTTGGAGCACCAGGACTGAGAATTGGTGCTTTCTGGGGAGACTCTGCCTCAGTCTCACATTCTGCACTCCCAGCCAGTTCCCACGGTCGGCCCGCCTACCTCCCATCCCATCTGCCCCTTGAGGATTTTACAGGAAATCAGAATATGCCCCTTGAGCTTCTCGATGTGGGGCCCTGCCTTCCTAGCCCCCCCCTTTCACCTTCTCTCTCTAGAAATACCTTTTGGGCCTTATAGACATCTGTGCCCCACAGACGTATCCTCATACTTATGGGAAAGGATTCTGATTTTTTTATGTTTATTTCTACACCTGACCCACAAAGCTGCTTTCTTCTCCTTTTCCAGTTATTCCTTTTTTTTAAAGATTTTTTTAAAGATTTTATTTATTTATTCATGAGAGACACACAGAGAGAAGCAGAGACATAGGCAGAGGGAGAAGCAGGCTTCCTACAGGAAGCCTGATGCAGGGCTCGATCCCAGGCCCCCAGGATCACAACCTGAGCCAAAGACGGATGTTCAACTACTGAGCCACCCAGGTGCCCCCTCCAATTAGCTATTCCTGAGAAAGAGTTCCTTTTTACATATTAGCCGGTGCTTAAGGAGAGATGCTGTGGGGTCCCTGGCCTCCCCTAGAACAAGTGTTCCTCAAACCATACTCAAGAGAACAGTTGTATATCAAGAAACGGACTGGGGCAGGGGCGCCTGGCTGGCTCAGCTTGTGGAGCCTACAACTCTTAATCGTATGGTTGTGAATTCAAGCCCCACATTGGGTGTGGAGCCTATAAAAGAGTTTTGTAAAGAAATACCGCAAGGAACTGAAGGATTTCATATGGAAAATTAAATGATGATTCTCGTTCTTCATAGAGCAAAAGAAAAATAAGTTAGTGAATAAAATTTCCTCAACTTTCAGATGACCCTTCCCCAAAAGGCTTTCTTAAATCCTCAGTACCTGCTGCTGTTCGTCCCTATCCTAGAGCTAACTGAAAAAGACGTATCTGATTTTTGCTCTTGTAAATGAAATCTACCACGATGTCCCATGATTTCAAGAGCACTAACTCCAATGGATGAGTTACATGGAGAGAACTCAACATGGGGAGAACTACTGCCCCAAGGATTTGAAAAGTCCAACTGACCCCTACCCCAAACTAGAAGCCCTTGGAATGGCTTCCTGCTCCATGGTTTGGTGATTTGGGGGTCACACATACTCTTAAGATGTGAGCGCAGCGATGTTGGAGGTACGCAGTGGCTTACCTACATGCGAGGTGCTAGGGGCAGGTCCTTCTGTCCCAGGTGCTTCTCTCTCCCTCTCTCTCTCTCTCTCTCTCTGTCTTCCACAATGTCTCTCCTGCCATTGTGAAGAGCTCTTCTCTGAAGGTTTTAGAATTTCAGTCTCCCATCAGTCCAAGTCAATTTAATGAATGTTGAGCCTTGTGAATCGCTAACTCCTGTGGGACATTGAATTTCAGTCACGGGAATGGGACAGTAGCAAGTGAACCTGTACAACCACAGCAGCCATCTCACCTGAAAGTCTGAGAGCAACGTCACCCAGCCTCAGCTTGGCCCCGAGGACCCCTGTTACTCTACTTGCATGTCCTTGACCTCCCTCTCATAAAGCTGCAATACTGTCCTTGTCACCAGAGACTCTTCTGACCCCAGCCAGGTCCAACTGAAGGCAGGGACGAGGGCTCCCACAGCAGAATGCCCCGTGGAAATGTTTGCCAGAGTCGCTCTCACTCCTTCCACAGCCATCAGTCTCAGATTTTTTTTTTTTCTTGTAAAAGCAAAATAAATTTAATATATGCCTACTGGAAACTAGAGCTAGTACAATTAAGCACAGACTCGTCTCCCGATTGTCTCATAGAACAGACTGTTTGGGATTGCATTTCAAAAACTCACAGCTGATTTTTTTTTCTTTTTATCACTTTTGCAGAGACATGAGAGAAATGAAAAACCTTTTAAGCAAACTCAGGGAAACTATGCCTTTACCATTGAAAAATCAAGGTAAGTCTTGTCGTTTCTCTTTAAGGCACAGGATGTTTTTGACGTGATAGCCTTGGGACCTGTTTCTTGAGATATTACAAATTTGTTTTACACAAACGATGGAAGGCACTGAGTATACACTCTTCTCTGTTCAAGAAGATATGATGATGGAAATGGAGCCCCTCAGGTGAACACAGTTGTGCTCTGAGTAGAGCAGAGACACACTCTGACCCTCAAACAGAGGCCTTCCCCACTGGCCTCCCCCGTCAAGAGCAGGTGTCCTCAGGTGAGGCAAACAAAAGAACTGGAGACTTGGCTCTTGTCTTTAAGAAGTTTACAGCCTAGAGGAGGACACTTGAGAAATATCCAAAGGGGGGGGGGTGCCTGGGTAACTCCGTCGGTCAAATGTCTGACTCTTGGTTGCTGACCAGATCATGATTTCGGGGTCCTCAGATCAAGCCCTGCCTCAGGTTCAGTGCTCAGGGTGGAGTCGGCTTGAAATTTTCTCTGCGTGTGCTCTCTCTCTTTCTCAATAAGTATATAAAATCTTTAGAAAAGAAAGAAAGAAAGAAAAAGGAAAGGAAAGGAAAGGAAAGGAAAAGATAGAAAGAGAAATTTCCATAGAAAGACCTCTGCCATCTAGATGTTTATTTAGTATTCTAAAAGAAGTAATAATAATTAACATATATTGAGGTCTTACGGCCTGCCACTGTGATGTCTGCACCCAATTCCAACGTGCAGGAGTGGTTTTCCACACCACCAATCTGTGGACACGGGCACTGAATTCTGAGATGACCTGGATGCAGCTGCAGATCCCCGGAGCTAAGGGCTACGAGACTGCCCTCTCCCACCACTTGAGATGTACGGGTTGGAAGTTCCAAGGACCCCCTCCACGCACCAGGTTAATTTGCTAGAGCGACTCACGGAACTCAGAGAAGCATGTTATGTGCTAGATCACCAGTTATTATAAAAGGAGGTAACTCAGCAACAGCCAGAAGTCAGATGCAAGGGGAGGGCGTGGGGAAGGACAAGGAGATGCCATCCCTCCCCCAGCGCACCACGCTGCTCAGGTCTCCACGCGTGCCCAACACGGCAGCTCTCCGGGCCTGTCCTTTGTTGGTTTTTATGGAGGCTTCGTTACACAGGCATGAGTGATTAAATCCCTGGTCATTGGTGATCGAACTCAATCTTTAGTTCCTCCTCTTCCCCAGACCTTCGGGTGGGAATGAAAGTTCCAGCCCTCTAATCACACAGTCGGTTCTCCTAGCAACCAGCCCCCATCCTTAGGTGGCTTTTGAAAGTAACCTATTAACATAACAAAAGACACCTTTACTGCTGTCATCACTTAGGAAATTCCAGGGATTTTAGGAGCTTTGTGCCAGGAAAGAGATGGAAGCCAAAAAAAAAAAAAAAAAAATATATATATATATATATATATATATATATATATATATATATATATATCAATCATATATGCCTTATATATGCCTATCATATATGCCAAATATATATATATATATGTATATATCACATATGCCTTATCCTAAATCACAATATCACTACCACTACCCTCAATACTTTATGTGTATTAACCTCTTTAATTCTAGTAACATCTCTGGGGGAAATGCTATTCATGTCTCCCAATTTACAAGAAACTGAGGCAAAGGGAGATGAGCTAACTTAGCCAAGGTCACACGGACTGTGGGATGTGATCCCAGAGCCTCTGGGAATATGCACTGTGACACAGAATGGGGAGATATTTTCCCTAGGATGTAACTTGCATGAGGAAGGGCCTCTACATGCTTCTGTCCCCAGAGCAATGCCTAGAACATAGTAGAATAACAGCCAGCATACATGATAAATGTGGGCCCTGGGAGCAGACTAACTGGCTTGAACCCTGGGTGTTAGCACTGTGGGCACCTTGCAGGGGTTTCAGGAAGCAGATGCGGTGTGGTGATGAGAGAGGCCTCTGCCCACAGCATGGCAGATTGTTGCTAGAAACACGCCTGGTGATGGGGACCGGGGACTTTGGATGAAGGCAACCCTTGGGTTCCAATGCTGGCTCTGCCACTTACCAACTTTGTGCCATGGAGCAAGCAGCTTCACTTCCAGCCATCTCAAATTCCTCATCCCTGAAAAGGAGAGAATAGCATCACTTACTCCAGGGGGCCATTGGGGGGGTTAAATGAAGCACCGCAGGTCTTGGGTCTTCTCCCAACCTCTCAGAGAGCAGACGCTGGACTGAGGCTCTACTGTGATTACTGCTGGTGGTACCGGTATTCTTTACCAGCAGGCCCGCCCGGCTTGGCTCAGGGAGATGCCCCGTCCTCACCAAACAGAACCACCCCTGCTACTGCTCATTGGCCTTGAGCCTGCAGTACAGAACATTGGTCCCTGGGACTTGGGGGTGGAGTTCAGGTCTGAAGCTATCCTCAGTTTCTTCATATGTTTGGCAAGTACCCCTGGTCGACAGCGGGGAGGCCCCACAATCCACTGCCCAGGAGGACAACTGCCAGGGCCCTCACACTGAACGGTACATGTGCCATGTGGTCTCTGTTTTAAATCAAACCCCCCAGAACATTCCCTCTACATCTCATGGAAATACATCTGACAGTTCCCGAAACACGCAGTAATGGAAAAACAGAAATTTCATTTTATTTACTTAGGGCATTTTTATCATCCTGAAGACTAGACATATTTTGTATGACTTTGTATTACTTTTATCAACAGAAAAAAAGTAGAATTTTAAATATATTTTCAATATAATAATAGTAATATATGATTGATACTGTGAGGAAAAGCATGTATTATTCCCTTTTCACAAATAAATGGGAATAATACAAATAAATGACACTCGGGATTTATTTGCTGTTTTCTTTTTTAAGGTTTATATTTATTTATTCATGAGAGACAGAGAGAGAGAAAGACAGAGACATAAGCAGAGGGAGAAGCAGGCTCCCTGCAGGGAGCCCGATGCGGGGCTCAATCCCAGGACCCCGGGATTATGACCTGAGCTGAAGGCAGACACTCAACCACCAAGCCACCCACGTGTCCTGATACTCAGGATTTAAACCTTAAATCTGTTTAGAACCTGAAAAGGAACAAGCTAGGAGATTCAGGGACCTGTTCAAGAGATATTAAGGCAGTAGGATTTTGAAGAACAATTTAAAAAAACAAATTGAGGTGAAGACTTCAATTCACATAAACGCTTCTTCACCTAGGGGAAAAAATGGGCCCCTTGGCATGTGATGCCACAGCTCTTGTTCTTGAAGTTTCCTGGGGACTCATAGCATGATGTCACTATGAGCTGACCAGGAGAGAAAGGGGGATGGAAGTCTGAACCGGAGCGTCTGAGAAGGCCCGAGGGAAGGAGAGCAGGCCCTCTTGGGTCCCTCTGGGAACATTCTTTAGCAGATGCATATGGCATCATTTTAATGAACAAATCGGCCAGATTCCTGTGTCTGACTTTGTGTACCAGGATAGAGCGCAGGAGCTTTCCCGTGACCTTCCTGGAATCCTTTAGCAGCTGCTCTGTTTATTATATGGGTGTAGGTGAACATATGCAAGAAACAGTGCGCGGTGAAATGTGGAAAAATATATTCCAGGCCTTTTCTCCAGGACCTTATTGTCAAAACATCTTTGTAACTGGATGAAAACCATTATAGAAAGCCATCTGGTTTTCTTCTGGCTTCTTCTTTCCTTTCTCTTTTTATTCCATGTGTGTTTGAAGCAGAGAGACAAAAAGGGAAAAGATGCCACTCCTGGTTCCCTGTGTTCCTACCTCCAACCCTGACCATGTGAAAATCCCACCAGGCGGGCTCTGGGGATCCTACCCTGGAAGCGCCCAGATGCCAGTGTTCTCGGGGCCTCACTCTCCTCCTCGCCTCGGAAACTTCCATGTTTATTTTAGCATTTAAAGATTCAATCGTGTCTTCCCCCTTTCCCACCACAGTCACCCCTTGAGTTGACAACTCAAGTGTGTTTTAAATTGCTTTTCGGTGACAAATGAAGGGAGGCGGCCAAGTGCAGGAGTTTTAATGGTTCGTGATGATGCCCTCGTTTTAGGCAGGGCCTTTTCTTTCCCATCCTTCCCGTTTAAGGCTGGAGACAAAGGCATGAAAGAAAAGTGAGCTGCCCTCTTTCTAAGTCAGCCCCACAGCAGGCTCCTGACCATGTCCAGGTCTCCTGGCTCTCAGCCCGCTCTTCTTCCCACTGCTCCAGCGCCTCTCCTGTCCTACATTCTGGGTCACTGGCAGTGCTGTAGGGAGCTTCATTAATTATGATAGTCTTGCTGTGTCAAATGGATTACAAATGGAACCACCTGTGGGGAGCCCACAAGGTGACTGACAAAGGCTAAAAGGAGACCGAAAGTGAAGGACAAGCATCTTCTAGATGTTTGTTGTAGTCAAACAAAACAAGTTGGCAGGAAAAAAAATTCAGCCTGAAAGGCAGTTTCACCTTTTCCAGAATTCTGACTTAATGAAGGCTAGGGGGTGTGTCTGTGCATTCATTCACTCTTGCCTACAATCTGGTTGTTGAATCTGTTGGTCAGAATCAGTCTGAAGCGGATCAGCTGGGAATTGAATCTGTTCTAGAATGGGTCCGCTCCTAGGGCCGGGCTTCTCCAGACTAAACTGGATCTAGAAACAGTTGCCCCAGGTTCATATTGGGTCCACTCCAGTCTGGACCTCCCGTATCCACTCTAGCCATGTCATGCAGAAGCGTTTGCTCTCTGGCTGAAGACCGTTAGGCAGTTATACCACCCGGTTGCCTACAGATGACCTCTTAGGTCCTTTCACCAGGGACTCCCATAAAGACTTTATGTGCTTCAATGTGGGGTCTGAATGTCACTCTGAGTAGTTTTTACGCTGGCAGCCCCATATCCTCAGTAATCTCAGCCACTTGCCATCCAGGATTCAGTATGCCATATGTACTTCCCCTCTCTCCTCCAATTAATTCACACGTCACCGATCACATAGCACTTTCTCAATGCATTACTCTGGGTTCAGTCCCTACTCACA